AATGATTCCATAACAGTTATGGCTTTATTGTTGGTAGAACATTTCATGTAGACTGGAAGACGACTGAATCCATCAACTCCTCCGTGAATAATAAATCCCCACCTAGAATTAATGTTATAAAAAACCATGAAATTTATTAGGGTTCACTTTGTTATTAAACAAAACAATTTTATAATTTTTGACCTATGGCTAGATATTAATTTAAATGGTGATGAAAGAAAGTTACTACTAGTACTGCAGAAAAAGTAAAAACCTCAAAATATTTTAAAAATCTATGAATCAATCATTTAATTCCATGCATGATAATTGAAGTTTTCTCTGGTTTCCTGAATGGGTTTATTTAAATAGTGAATTGTTAGAATGATAAAAATATATAAACATTTTGTCAAACAAACCTTATCAGTTTATGATTGCCATCAATGTGCCAGAGATGGTTTGGTCCCCCTACAGTGTAGACTCGCCTGTGTAGACGTCTTCTTAGTCTGTGATCTGCTCCGTTTTCATCAACTCTTCTCATTGAATTCTTTAAATCTTTTCTAGGAACAGTTATTCCTCTATGTTTTAAATACCCTTTCATCATGACTTCTCCAGTATTGGGGTGATTCAATAAAATATCATGAACAATTTCATCTAAATTACCATCGTCAATGTCGCTGTACATACGAGCAGAAATTCCCATGTCTTTTAAACGCCTAAATATTGTTCGTTTGCTTAATTGCAGGTGATCTGCAATTGAGTCTACATTATAACCAGATTCTTACAAACGTTTAATGATTTGATGTTCTCTACCTGGTTGGCCAATTTCCATTCGTCTCTGACATTTCTCTTTCAAAATAATTCGCTGTCCATCATCTAATCCCAGTTGCTGAAACTCTTCTTCTGACAGTTCATTTATTATGGCCAGAGTAATCTGTTATTAATCAGTTACAAAAATGAAATTGATTTAATAAAATAGGGTTTGATATCAGTTATTAAATTTTTTTTTCATTTCCAAGAAAATGAAAAAAACAGCGAATTACTGTATTTACGATTACTCTTGCTGTCTTTTCTAGCTTAAACACGTTTTAAACAAATAAAACAATGAACACACACATACATTCATAATGCCAATTATAAATACAATGCATTTTTTAACTAGACATGTTGAATATATTGGGATGATGTTAATGATAGTTAAAATAACTTGAATAATAATTCAACCTTCAAAAAGGACTTATAGTTATGGTTATCATTTTATTGCATGCAAACATTAGTATTATTACGGCTTGTATAACCACCTAGCGTACAATTATTAATATTTTATTATAAAATAAAACTATAATATTAAAAGCCTACTCCCAAACCCAAAGCGTTCCGCCTAGGTTACTATTAGCTAGCTAGGCAGGCTGAGGCTATATAGGGCCTACTACTAACTAGTACTTACTAGCCTACTTGGCCTAGCCTAAGCCTAGGGGAATTACAGACGATGCCTAGGGCTTGGTCTAGGCCTAGGGCCTAGGCTAGCCATAGTTAGGCCTAGCCTAGGCTAGGCCTAGACCCATCCTCCTTCGTGAGCATTAATAAAGAAATAACTTGGCGTAGAACCTTTTCTCTCGTAAAAATGTCTATTAAATGTGTTAGTGAAAGTTCGTTCAAAATGGAAATAAGGTCTTCATCCATAATTTTCC